ATCAATTTTGCAAAGGATGAACTCCAAGGAGGTAAATTCATATCAATTGGGGAAACAACTGTCTTGCAAATGGACAACAGGAGCAGGACCACGAATTGGCTGTGTGAGGGATTATCCCTTGGAGCTCCAGTCCCGGGCCTTGGAGCAAGTGAACTTGTCTCCCAGAAGTGCAAGCCACTTAAAACCATACTACTCTCCCCGCTCTCCTAGCTGCTTGAGTCCTAAGGTATCTTCTCCATTATGTTGTGGTGAGGAAATGACAGGCTCACCTATGCTCAAGAAAGGGAGTTTATTGCAAAGAAGCATTCCTTACAGAACGCAGTCCTCCCCACTGTTGAAAGAAGCACTAGTAGGTGCAATCAATGGTGTATCATAACTAACAACACATTCCAGATTAGTTCATTCTTTTCTGTGAATAGAAAAGATGATATAGGAATTCTTTTCATTCTTTCCAACCAGGATCATGTGTACGCCTCTTTTTCGCCTTTGTTCATTTTGTACCATATCAGATGAGATATGTAGGATTTTGGGTTTAAATGCCCTTTGATACAAAAGGAAATGTTCATTTTTCCACAGGTAGCATATGATCTTATTACTCATCAAATGTATTCATAAAAACAGAAATCAATGAAAGGCAAGGATATTTTCTGCATTCCTGGATAATTCTTTTGATGGTCAGCTAATTTTCATCATCACCAGAAAAAAAAAAAAATCTCTCATCTGTTATTTTCCAGATACTTCTGTTCTTACTGTGTGTAATCTAGGAACTCAACATCCTAGAATTTCTTTTAAGTAATAATTCCATGGTCGCAGTACAATTTAAACAAAAATTACAACAAATCATATGCAACCAAAATATCACGTGTCTCAAAAAATAGCACTTTTTTTTATGATAAATTGAATTTTCACATTAATGAATATAATTTTCTTCTCATTTTTTGGCTAGAATATAATTTTCTTCTCTGTTTCTCACTATATGGAAAGAAAGGAATTTACTAAAAGGAAATTATTAATATTCCATATCAGCTGCTGAAGTAGCACCATAAGTACTTATTCATGAAGACTGAAATTCCACTCTATACTTTACATTAGACTTGCACTGAACTTGACTAGTAATCACAAACAAAGAAAAGTAGGAGAAAAAACAATAACAATGAAGTGATAGCATAGGGGATAGATATCATATTCACTGCTTCCTCCTATTCAATCTTTCACACCCCTCCCTTTGCATCTTGGCTACCAGATTCGAAATGTCTGCATAAACCATTTGCGTTTTCTTGTAAAAACAATGTTTCCAATGACAACACCAATGAGGAATCCACATCCATAACCTAGCAACACTAATTTCCAATCAAATTCAGCTAACAATCCAGAGTCTTCATTTCCTTCGAAGGTTGAGGATGCTGGAGGCAAATTCTCGGAGTTATAGTAGTCACATTTTCTTGACAGTGGCATTCCACACAGTTCTGAATTTCCATCGAAAGAGCTATTTTCAAATGTATCAAACTGTTGGCCTTTCGGGATTGGACCCGTCAAATGGTTGTGAGACACATTGAAGACTTCAAGAAAATTGAGCCGCGTCAGCTGTGTAGGAATTCTTCCTGTCAGCTTGTTCTGAGAAAGGTCAAGTGCTTCAAGATTTGCAAGATATCCCAAGGTTGTTGGGATTGGACCAACAAGGATGTTATTGGAAAGATTGAGCAATTGAAGTCGCTTTAAGTTCCCAACTACTTCTGGAATCTCTCCATCAAATTTGTTGCAAGAAAGATCCATGGCACTAAAAACCTCCAAGATCTTTGGATATTCCCTCTTCTCTCCTTTGTTTGTTATTGTCATTGAGTAAGGAAATACAATAGGAACGATGAGAAGGTTGTACATTAAATGGCGCTTATACGCTTGCAAATATGTTGTGGTCTCCCCATCAAGATTAGCCGTGGCATTCCGTCTCGCAAAGAAGTCTATTGGCAAAGTGCCAACAAATCCATTGTCCGAAAGGTCAATGATGTGGAGCTTAGGAAACAAGAAACCTGTCTCTGGTACTTTGATTGAAATTGTGCCATAGAACCTATTTGAATGCAAAATGAGAATCCTCAATTCAGGAAGAGCTCCCAACCAGGAAGGGAAAATATCTTTGATCATGTTTTTTCCAAGATCAAGAAACTCTAACATTTTGCAGTTGCCTAGTGATCTTGGTAACCTCCCATGCAAATTATTCTGTCCCATTTTAATTGCTCTGAGTTGGTTTGTAGTTTCCCATGTTTTAGGAATAGGACCATGGAAGTTATTTCCTTCCAAGTTTAAAACCAACATGGAGCTAAGGTTGCCAAAACATTGCAGCATCGTTCCGGTCAAATTGTTGTGAGACAAGTTCAGCACTTGAAGAAAAGTCAAGTTGCAGAATTGACGTGGAATTTCTCCACTGAACATATTCCCGGAAACTAAGTAGAAAAGGATGGAGAGTGGTGGGATTGGTAGAGAACCTTTGAGAAAGTTAGAACTAAGGTCTAGATACATAAGACTAGAAGGGAAAACAAGGAAGGATTCTTCAAAACTTGTGAAATTGTTGTCAGAAAGCTCTAAAACCCACAAACTTGCACTCAAGTTCAATATCCAACTAGGTATCTGGCCATGGATGTTGTTGGAGCCGAGGCTGAGGACATTCAATTCACTCTGATTACGCAAGAAGTCTGGAAACTCTCTTAGATTACAAAAAGAAAGACCCAGCATTTTAAACTTTGGAATTGTTCCATTGGTGGGAGTTTTGATTACTAATGAGAAATTATTAAAGCCTAATTCCAAATATTTAAGGGATTTGAGTTCAAGAAATGTGTCAAACTCAACAATACCACTTAAGTTGTTGAAGTAAACAAGGAGTGTTTCAAGGTTCTTGAGTCTGGAAATTGAGCTTGGAAGAGATCCCTGTAACATATTAGACCCAAGATTCAATTGTGTTAAATTTGTTAGGTTTGAAATCCAAGATGGAAAATGGCCAGAAATTTGATTATAAGAAAGGTCTATCTTCATAAGATGGGTCAAGCTAGCCAAAGAAGAAGGGACCTCACTAAAAGTGAATTGATTTAATTTAAGATTTATTTGAGTTAGTTGAGTGAGGTTTGAGAAGAAAGGAGCGTTTTCTCCCTTGAAAGAATTATTTGGGAGGTTCAATACATGGAGCTTGGTGAGATTACCAATTGAAGGTGGTACCCAACCTGAGAGGTTACAACTATTGACATCTAAATATTCCAAAGAGCTAAGCATTCCTATTGAGATAGGTAACTCACCAGAAAAGGTTGTGTTTCCAACATCGAGTGCCCTAAGCTGACTATGAGAGTGAAATTTAGGAAAACTACCACTAAGTTCCCAATTGTTATCCAAATCAAGGACTTGAAGTTTAGGTAGTTGGAAAATGTCTATGGGAAACTTTCCAAGCAATCCACATTGACCAAAATGGAGATGTGTCAATGATGACACATTTGCCAAGGCCATAGGGATTGGAGAATTTATACCAACATAAGAGAGGTCAAGCCATTCTAGCTTGGTTAAGTTTTGAGCTAAGCTATTCAAATCAGGCCTTTTGAGTTCCAACAATCCTCGATTTGAATAATCAAGATTGAAAGAAAGGTCAAGCTTAGCTAAATTAGAGAGTTTTGAAATTTCATGTGGAATTTGACCAGAAAAGAAAGAACCAAAGAGGTTGAGATAAGTTAACCTGGAAAGATTGCCCACTGCAGATGGTATCTTAGAGAAATTGAAGTCATTGAGTGCAAGGTTGAGGTATTGAAGGTGTCCAAGGCGGAAGAGGCTGCTGCTGGAATTGATAGAACCAAAAAGACAACTATTACTGAGATCAAGGCCTATGACATGAGAAGTGTCCTGGTCACACCATATGCCTTCCCATGAGCAACAATCAACCCCTTGAGATTGCCAGAGATTGACTTTAGGAGAAGTAGATGCTTGCCTTTCAATGACAAAGCTATCTTTGAATTGCATTAGAGCAAGATACTCATCCTTATGACACAATTGCTGATGTGAGGATAGTTGAAAAAAGGAGATCATCAAGAAAACCAAGCTTAAACGAAAGAAGTGAGTGGAGGAGGAAGCCATGGTTTGTTTGGATATTTTGGTTTTGAACTTGTAGAAATTCATGAAAGTAAAGAGCTTTTATAGACAATTATATTTAGTTTATTTGCTAAGGAAGAGGGCAAAAGCTTGGGCCCAAGGTTTTTAAGTGTTACCATCACTAAACTCGATTGTTAAATGTTAAAGTTGATCATGATTGCTCATACCAATTCAACCCATAAAATATCAACACACTGGAATACAGATTTACAAGCATATACATAAGATACAAACAGGCCCGTATACATCATATAAGTAAAAAATACAAGTGTCTCATTATTACTCGGAACAAATTCAAGACAAAAATTTATAGATACAAGGATGGATTGTATTGAAACTGTCAGAGACTATAATACAGATATGCAAGCATAAGATATCTACAATACTAAATCTAGAGTAAAGGTGGACTGTTACGGTTGGAGCAGTGGCATAAAAGCTGTGATGTTACTGCCACAAAACAGCAAAATGGTGCGGCAAGAAGCTGCATTTATGGGATAAAATGTGTAGCAATAAAGCTCTGCTTCAATGGAGGAAAGAAAGATGCAGCAGTTATGGAAGGAAATGAAATGCAACTACAAATGGAGGCTGCAAATTAGTCAACAAAAGTGCAGCAATGTGATAGTGTTTCAATGTACTTTTTTATGTTAGTTTATGTATTGCAATCCTTGATTTACATGTTAGGATAGATTTTGTAGGAATGTAACCATAAATCATGAAAATTAGGTGAAAAATAATGTTTTTATGTTGAATTTTCTGCTATAAATGGGCAGACATGTTAATGGAAATATGAGAGAGTTAGACAACAATTTCTCCTTTCTCCCCGGTTGGGTGAAATATCACGTTCTTAGTTCTACTCTTCCTACTCTCCTCCAAGTCCTCTCTCAAGCCCTTCTTCTTACTTCAAAAATCTAACAGGTACAATCTTCAATACACCAAATCATCATGAAGATACTCTTTCCTTAATAGTTGTTTATGGCTCCACCCCACTGTGACCTGGAATTCTTCAATGCAACAAATTAACAGTTGTTACTAATATTTCTCTTGCAAGTATCTAAGACCATAACTTTGGCACGTATGCAACACGAAATGCAAGCCACAGCAGTTGCCTTAAGTTAAAACAAGAACAGCAATTTTTTTGTTGGATAAAAGGAAGTTTAAGGGATGCATGTAATTTCAAAGGGAGTTTAAATCTGGGATGTATAGGATGAGAAGGGGAAGCCTTGTCTGTTGATGTGAGGATTTCGGGAATAAGGAAGCTTATTTGTATTTTGGATGTAAGGAAACATTTGTACCCCTTTAATAATAAT